GTTTTGGTCACTGATAACGGCACACACTTCACTGCAAAATTCCTCGAGGAATGGTTGAAGGGTCTTGGTTGTCGACATCTGTTTACTGCTCCGCGACATCCCCAGTCGAATGGACTTGCTGAAAATTTTGTCCGAATACTTAAATCTGCTATTATTTCACTCTCTCCCACTACTTTTGTGGAATTGGACCGTGGGATTGATAATTTTCTAATGCAATACAGGAACGCCGTCCATTCCGTTACTGGGAAGAGTCCCGCGCTTCTATTTAAATCTCGTTCGTTGCGTACGAGTCTTGACTGTGCCAAAACGGCTGATGTCACATTTTTCAAGGGTAATGATTTACGACCCGCAACTGGAATAGTGCTTTCATCAAATGGCAAACGAATGGTCACAATTCTCGATTTGGATGATCTCTCTTGTCATCGGAGACACATTGACCAGGTTGAGTTCAATACCAGAGGTCAGTCTGTTAACGGCACTCCTGCTGTTTCAAATACTAATGAGTCCTTTGTAGGTGATCTTGTGGTATCCGAACAAAATGCTGTATCTGAAGAACGTACTACCTGTGAAGATTCTGAAGTTTCCATTCCGAGAAGATCCGAAAGATTGCGGTCAAGACCACCACTGGACTATAAACACCCGCACGCTCATTCAAGGTGTGGTGGATGTGATGAACATGACTGATGCTCTATTCATTGCTCTATTCATTCTTGTTTTGTTTTAATATTCCATATGCTGTACATATTCGCCAATTCGAATATATACGTGCTGGTTGCCACTCTTCGCTGAATTCTGGAAGTTTGTCGGGATATACGTACGAAACTTAATTACCACACGATATTTCACCAGGCTTATTGAGGCTCCATTCGGGCTCCTTGGCTCTACCCAATCTGGATTCAACACGCCGAGTTGGTTAACCTTATGGAAGAGTTGACTAACAAAAGTCTTGCAGTAAACACCATTTTGGTTATAAGCTGCTCGTGAATCCACCTTGTCAAGGTCGAGTGGGGTGAGGTTACCGATCAAGATGCACGCCTGCATACCGTTCTCTGCAGGCTTCTGATGCGACTCTCTGGTCACTCATATGGTCCCCGCTTCTATACCTCAGGGAGAAGCCTGTTAGCTACTTTCCAGGATGATTTCTCATCCCCAAATAGCACATCTTTGATTTTCCAGTCTGAGCCTAGTATCTTGGCTTGTTTTTTCTGTTGCATGGAAGGATTTCTTACCTAAATTGGTTCCGCCACTTACAATATGCCAACTTGTCTTTCTAGGTTCTTGTAGTCATCTTTTTGAGTAATAGTCGGGACCAGAGAATCCCGAATCATTTGGGTAGCTTCCGCTTCTTCGGACTGCGCGCTGGCCTCTTCAATACGAACGTCTCATCAGCTTCATGACTTTTCTGGACAATCTCCCTCTACTGTCCTACACTGTCTCCACTCCAAATTTGTCAAGAAAATGACGCACCCTGAGTAGTCTGTTATATAGCTATATGTATTTCACTCTAACTAAGGAGGGGCATGCAGGGAAATACTAATGTGAACAAACGTCAAAACAAGCGTGCGCGAGTCGTAGAATTCGACTCTCAGATATGGCGTCTGGATTCAGGTTTTTGTGGTGGCCCTACAATCTTCCGAGTTGGTTGGAGGGGAATAGGCGCATACGGTGCAGTTGGCTTTAGTGATCCCTATAACTAAGTGCCATTTGGATAGCCGCGGTGGTTTTAGGTACACAAAAAATATATATTATGACTGCAGATAGAGCTGGCAACCGGACCATTCAGTTTCTTGGGGGAAACTGGTTGTCCACAGTGGACCGAAGTGGAGGGAAGAACAGAAATAAGGAACGTTTTCCGTTGCTCGTTTAAAACCGTGAAAAAGCGCTTAAAAAGCACAGTTGTGAAAGCCATTAACATAATAGAGCTATTAGGGGGAAGAAGGACATTACGCGCAGCCGAGACGCAGTTGCTTAAAGAAGGGCTTACGTAGGTCGCTAAGTGGTTGGGAAAAGTGAGAGAATAAGAACAATCCAAATAAGGCCACAGTATAACCGGAGGTGCCGGAATGAAAACATGCAGGGAGCAGAATACGAAGCCTGAGAGATCGAGCTAATAATCAACTAGATTATCGCACCAGGCTAGTGTATTACTCTGGAGTCAGGAGAACTCCATTTTTTCACCCATTCTCTGGATACCATCGCACTGTTACCGCTTTCCTGTGCATTGGGGTGGTTACAACCAACGTTTAACTACTTGGGAGATCCTCTTCTCTCTTAGAAGGGGACAGTGACCATGCTACTAGGTTTTTGTGAAGCGCCTCACAGGGTTCCTGCATGTAGTTCGTTTGGGCCAGCTGACTTACCCACGTCCGAGATTTTTACCCCTCGTAGGCTTCATTTTTCATGCTCGCACTGTCCACAACGTTCAAGCACGGAAATTTTGAGCGACATGCGGACGTGCGACATCCTTGATGTTTGATGTGCTATTCATAAAGATGTTAAAAGATGTTATTGGCTGAATGTGACGGAATATTTGGAGGCTGACACTTCTATCAGTCACATCGCCAGCCACATAACGAGAGACTGTCTGAACATAGCTTAAGTGTGCTTTGGGACCGCAACCGGTATTTATTTCTGGTTCCAAGTCGCATGCCACTACTCGTATCCGTGTTTGGTTGTACGGCGCCAGGTTATGTTTCAGTAAGGCTGGTATAACATGCTTAGGCCACATTTGCTTCTACGCCGGTATTGAAAATGTTGTTGAGGCAGTGTGACCTTGAAGGCTCTAACTCCTTCAGGGCGTTCACGCCATATAAACTGAGCAGAGATTTCTGAGGCCGCGAGCGCCCTGCTCTAATTTGTTCAGCTCTTGACCCCTATTTGGGCCTCTCGAGATTACCAAGTCTGGCGTGTCTTCTTTGTTCCGGATTGTTGGTCGAGATGCTTTGCGCGCATGCTGATATAGGGCCGGGTGAGTTTAGCAGTTAACGAGGGCCTCAAAAACGATCCCATTAGGGGCATTCTAGCACCAACTCCGCTTAGCATTAAATTACCATGATAACATGGTTATGTGATTCGTGATCGTTGCCCGTGTGATTGAAAAGCAGTTTGCTTTGTTCTCTGGGAGTTAGGTGTGGTCTAAGTTATTGCTGGATGCATTACCTGAATCTGAAGGTCGGAGTACAACGACCACATGTTTTTCGTGGTTCACGTAGATCAAAAACGTAGTGCGTAATGATTTGGTACCGACTGGATGGTCTCACCACTGCTCAGCCCCCTGTCCATCAGCTGCTTGGGCAGTAAATCTCAAGGGACGTGTGCTACCTGTGGCCTTCAGCAGTAGAGTTACTTCCGTGACTAGTGTCCCTGTGAAACCTCATTCTTCGGCCATACGCTCCATCCGGTTTTTAAGCACTGCATGTATTTATAAAGACAACTACCGATCACACTATATCCTGGAATTTTTGAGCTCGCATATTGTGAGGAAGTTTCTATACATTAAAATTGCATGTGCAGAGTAGAACGAGTCTTAAGGAGTGACATCGGTACCTTTAGGATAGCGGGTGCGTGGGCAGAGCGTTTCAAACGCCACAATAATACGCGACCGGCAGAACGGGTGTGAA